GATGCTGTTACAAAATCCAAAGCATCCTGATCATCTTTATCAAATAAAAGCGAAGCGTTTGGATTACTGTTTTGTTTTTTTAATAATGTATTACTTAGGCGTCGAACGCTACATAGGAAGTAATAAATAAATATATAGTTTATATGAAACATGATTAAAATATAGTATGATAGCAAACCTATCTAAGAAAACAACGAAGTTTTCTGCTAGACTCCATATTCGTTGATCTTTCAACATATTATAATCTTCTATGTAATTCAAATCAGAATCTCCTTCCGTAACTAAATTTACAATGTCCTCGTATATTAGAGGTACGGGAGGTTTCCTGTTTCTCCACATATCTTCCATTCTAAGTAAACGAATTATATCGTCGGTAAAAACCTTTCTAAAAACTCTTTGAGGATAGTCCAGCGTTCCCATTGCTGCTCTAATTTGCTTTAACGCTTGCGTTTCTCTTCTAAGATTATCTATTTCATTCGCTGCAAAAAATTTATGATGATTAGTCATTTGTTAAAATGAAATATATAAATAAGAAAAATACCATTGTCATCCGTCATTTCTGATTCCAAACGTTCATCATCTTCATCTTCAGGTAGTCCAAATAACTGACTAGAAGATTTGTTAGATAAAGAATATACTTATTACTTAAATTATATAGGATAGACAAACCTAAAAAGATAACTTTTAGCCCATTCGATACAATGGATAGGTTGGGAGGGAGTACTTCGAATGGTACATACTGGAAAAGTTCTTTTTAATGGTTTAGGTTGGCAATCATAACACTCAGATATTCCCTAAAGTAATAATAAAATGTCAAACTATGTGCTTAACGTGTAAACTTGTAAATTTTTAAATGGAATGTATTATTAATATTGATGACCTTTTTAATCACTGTCACTTGACCTAAATATCCTTCTGTACCAGATTCAATCAATGGTACATCAGCAACTAAACACATCATGTTTACATGGCGTCTAGCTTCTGAATAAATTTCAATGGGTTCGTTAAAAAATCATTTAAATCTAATTTTAAAGAACAAATAAACAAATAATCATTTTGTACCAAGGTTATCTAATGCGTTCATCACAATATCGAAGCGTTTAAACCATTCAACGTTAAATTGGTTGTCTTTGATATTAGCATGATGCGCAATGATATTCATATCAGGGTTAAAATTTAATGCGGATTCACGTGCAACCTATTGTATCAACAAAACAAAACTGGTCAGAGACATAAAATTTCAGGAAAAAAAAAAGTACATACTTTTGCCTTAGATTTCTTAATGTGTTGGTTTTGAAATAAAAATTGCCGGTTTAAATTCGAAAGTTCGACTGTATCTAGATCAACCTGTCAAAAATATATTGTTAGTCAAGATTATTTGAAGCGATTAGATCTAATGCAGTAAACTATATAAGGACAAACCAGTTCGATTTGAAGAAAACCACTCATTGCCACATTCTTTAATAGCTCGCATCCGATCCCACCAGCTCCAATGATTAGCACACGGCATTCGTTTATTTTTTGGAAAAGCGACTGTCCTAAAACGTTTTGGGAGTGTAAATTTCGAGACATTTTGAATGAAAAAGTGTTTGGTTTCTTGTGCTTTTTATATTGAAAAAAATATGACGGTTTACAGTCTGATTCGATTTAAAGATCGGTTTTAAGGCCGGTTTTACAACAAGGGATTATCAAACGATCATCCACGCGTTTTATAGTTGTCTAGCTATAAAAAGTAATTATTTTAATTTTACATCATTGTTTGTTTGTCTTGCAATTATGTTGTGTAATCTCATTTTCTTAAAATATAACTTTAGCAACTAATAAGGAAACTATCACATATTTATGTCTTTTTATTCTTTTATTTTAATTTATAAAAATTGTAATATTAAAGATATTTTTAAAATAAGTATATAATTCAAATATTTCAAATATTTTTAAATATTATTTGAATATATTAAATCAATTCTAATACTACTAATTTAAGTTTAAATTTTTTTTTTTAATCATAAATAAATCTTATAATCAAAAATTATTTTATGATCAAATATTATAATTATTATAAATAGTATAATATTAATAATATTTATAATATTAATCAAAATTTACAACTCTAAATAGGATTTCTAAATACAAAAAAATTTATATAATGAATTCTATGCATAAACTTCTAAATTTTTTAAAGAATTTTATCATATTATTATACAAATTTTTTGTTTTAATTAATTATATAAAGCAACTTTATCATATACTTATTAAATTATAATCAAAAATGCTTGTCATATATTTATTTAATGATAAAATAATATATTATACAATCAATTAATACAAAAAGATTAGTCATACATTTTTTTTTAAATTTAATAAATTTATTATATATTTATTATACATTTATCAATCTAACTATTCTTAGTTATACTTTTATCATCATTTTTTTACATCTTATTTTTTAAGTTATGATTTGAAATATATTTTAAATAATTAAAATAATTATAAAATTTTATTTAAAATATTTTAAAAATTATTATAAATGGTATTACAGTAAAATTCTTCAACTCAGGTTGATCACATTAGCTGTTTATGACTAGGTTATTTAGTAATAAAATAATCTAACTATAACTAAATAATCTAAGTATAACTATAAATAATCTAACTATAACTAAATAATCTAAGTATGATTATAAATAATCTAAATATAACTAAATAATTTAAATATATCTAAATAATCTAAAGTTAATAACCTAAATATGATTAAATACTCTAACTAAATAATCTGTTTGTAACAATTTTGTATACCTAATTATTTTTCTTACTATATTCCTTCCCTTTGAATTCGCTTTTCTTTAGCCTTTTCCATTTATTATTTGTGATCATGTGATTAAATAACCTAAATATTACTATTACTAAATAATTGAAATGTACCTATTTTTATTTAGTTCTATGTGTCAATAATCATTTTTTAATATAATTTATGATATTGGGATTCTACAATTGATTGGTTATTGAATTCTATGTTGGAGGTCTGGCTTGTCTGCAATTGTTTGGATCCCAAGTTTTATGACAAAGTTTCTGCTATTCTATGCCTCTTTGGTTGCCTGTTAAGGATTCAAGGGTGCTTTCCTTCTTTACCTATTTTGTTATTCATCAAAATGCCAAAATATGGTAAAAAAAATATCATATCGGGTGGTGCAATAGATTGCAGTAGATTCGCGTCTAAATTTGGTTGGCACTATGTCATAATTTTGGCCGATCTTTTAGACACATGATTTGAGGTTCCAACTTGGTGCTATGGTAGTAACCTGGTAGTGCTCAGAACTCTCCTGAAACTGGTAAGGAATTAGAGTGGTTCTATTAGTTTGCCAGTTTCAGACCACTTGTATATTAGCTTGGATGCTGAATTATTATATTTAAAAATCTGACTGAATTTATGAAATTGTGTTGGCCAAAATTAAGCGAATTTATACTGCGCCTTATTGCGCTATAGTCACGTAATACTATTCCGGTGACAGAATACCCTCTGTCATAATATAGTCACATTATTTCTAAATCACAGCTAAGGAGGTATGACATAACTACTCCAGATGCATCAGGATGGTCTAGAATATCCTCTAACCAGTCAAAATATGATATATTACCTCTACAGCATGCATAGACATCAAAACAGACTATACGAGAATCACCTATATCTATTTTGAGTGGTACATCCTGATTGCTTGTAACCATATACCCAGTATAATCATTTATTCGTATAATTTTAAGGCCTTTGCGTTCTATAACTATCATTCGTTCTGTTATAAGTGATTTGAGATGCCCATTAAATTTATGCTATTTTCCACTAGACATCCTAATCTTATTCATAACAATAAGCTTCTGAGCTTGGATGCCTAGGGCAGATTTTTTTGAGCATCACTAGTGTCACCAGTTAATATATGGAATTAGTGACAGAATTAGTGACACGTTCATTATACTTCTTAAGGTTATTATGCTATTTCATTTCTTTCTTGATTAGTGTCACTAGTGTCACTAGTAAAAAGTAATAAATAAAGTTCTTGAAAAATCGAAAATTTTCTATGGTATCTTATGGTATATATGTGTAGTATAATTAATATATGTGTAATATATGTGTGGTATATATGTAATATATGTATGCTATAAAAAAATAAAAAAAGTTAAGGAACTCAGATTTTTTCTAGTAATACTAGTAACACTAGTAACATCCATCAAGAAAAGTTTCTTTTGGCCTAGAATTCTTAAAGAGCCTATCGTTTGCGTTACTAGTTCTATCACTAGCTTTTTTTTCTAATGACACGATCCCTTTAGGATCTACTAGTGGCAAATTGTATTATTTTTGTTTACCTCTAAATTACTTACTAATATCTGCGTCGAAGCCAAGTTCACCAGCTTGTTCCAATGGTACTGTTCTTTTTTATGATGCTTTCTAGCATAAATATCACAAAATCCATATTTGCCATAAGTTAATTTACCGCATTCTTTGCAGGGTATCTGAGAAGGAGAATTGCGGTAAATATGGCATTTCTTCAGATGGTAGCATCCCCAATTGCAAATTTTACCACTCCTGTGAATATAAGTACATCGATAAAATACCATTTTTAATAACTATGAATAGTCAGTTTATGTATCGATTTATATATTTCAGAATTAATTTTTATTTTAAACTTATTTCTCCCAGAGTATATAGTTTCTCTCGAACTGTATATTTGTGATATAATAACATGACCTAATCCTCGCTTTCAGAGTTCCTCTCTGACGTGTTCGCTCCATTTTATTGTGGGTTTAAAGCCAAAAATATAGGTCAATATCTATATAAAATTTGTGACGATAGTGTTAGACCGAGAAATTTCCTTAGTGCAGATAATGAGGATGAGATAGAAGCCATTCTCTCAGAACGTGAAGACCATTCCTTACACGAATTCATTGATGGTGATGAGCCACTCCAGCCTATTATAGATTTCAATTTAGCATAAGAAGTGCTTGATACTATTGAACCTAAGCTAACACGTAAAGAGATAGGTGATTTGCTATATCTTGCTTTTATAAAGATATGTCTTAAGGTATTTCTGAAATGGGATTATAAAACTTTAACAATTGCCAGCAGTAGTGATGCAAAAAAAATGTCCCTCCATATCTCAACTTTTGGTATGAGACTTCCAAATATTGCTTGGGTTACAGTTTTTATTGAGCTTGTCTGTAAGAAACTTCCAGTATCTCTCTAGGGAAATAGTATTATCGATAATATTGTGAATAAAAGCTCTTTCTCCTTGCGGATGTTTAGATTGCCCAAATACAATGAAAAAACAGAAGAACATATTCGGGTGAAAAAAGCAATGCACCCCAAAAATGGAACCATTTTTGACTTCATGATTCGCCCGCCTAATGATGAATCAGAAATCGCAGAAAGTCCTCTCTTAATTGTTCCAGAACTAAAAATGGGGAGATGCCCTAACATAAATAATGTCACCACTAATGCTGAACTCGAACTGGTAAAAGGATTGCTTCAAAAAGCTAATATCGAAGGGTATAGTCTTTCATATTTATCTGAAAAGTTTCCTGATAAATTTCCACTATCTCACCTCTCTTCATTATACTGCCCAATATGTGACCAAAAGCATGACAATGATAATGCATATATTATCTAAAATAAAAAATCCTACAGCTTTTTCTACTACCGAGCAAACCAAGATAGGCAACCCGGATCCAGAAAGCTTTCAAAAAAGCTTACTATTAGCGAGACAGCCTTAGATAGGGAAAAAAAACTTCCAATTCCAGAGAAACAGGGTCAGCCTAGAATTTTTGACCCTAATGATCATTTCGTATGGTAGGATTTAATATCCATGTGTACCTCTAAGAAAAGATTTACACGTATAATACAATCCAAGCAACGATCGCCTGCGTTCAAAAATAATCAAAAACATGGATTCTTAAGCACAAAAAATCAGATAGTGACCTATACTTTGATATGGGATTCAAGTTAGATATCGGTAAATTAACGATTAATATCATCGAGTTAGGTGGGAAAGCGATAAAATTACAATCTTTAATAGAAAATGCATTTAATACTGATTTGATTGCTTATGCAGATATCGATTTCCTACCATATCCTCCAAATACTATTTCGCCGAAAACTGAATTCTTTAATCTTTTCTTAGGATTCAAAGCAAAGCCAGCTTCCCATATTAATTACAATCTCGTAAATCCAATTATCTGGCATATAGAATATATCTGGTACAATGGGGACAAAAATCTTTCCGAATATGTTCTGAAATAGTTCGTATTCCTAGTCTAGCATTCTAGCATAATCTCTGGAATTATTCTTGTATTACGTTCCCTACCACGTTGTGGGAAAAACATTATTACCGATTTCATTTGAAAAAGCTTATTTGGCCTAGAGCCTGTATATTCAACTTCTGACCTTAGAAAAATTCTTGGAAAATTCAACAGTGCTATTCAAGGACGCAAGCTTATAATTATGAATGAGGCGAGAATAGCCAGTGGTGAATGGCATAAAGTGAATGACCATCTAAAGTCTCTTATTACAGAAGATTACATCTTGATTG